AGCTTTCAATGGAATATCTGGATTTAATTTCATCTAGAACTTCTGTGTATGTTCTAAGGGGTATAATTGAAGAGCAAGTGAACCAGTTAAACACTTCATAACTTTCTATGACTGTAACTCTTTCTTATTATCTATTCCATATATTTATTTAAACACATAAACATTGATACAAAAAGGCACCAACTACATATGCGTCGCACAAATCATTCGATATGTGTGAGAGCTGGAATACTTCCCGAGCACCTGAACCATTTCTAATTGGGATAAATTTTCATTAAATTAAACTGAGTTTTACTGGTAAGGAACGTGATTTCCAATTTAACTTCAAATCTTTTGATATTCAACACTGAATATGTAATGCCGATGTTCGTTTTGTTGTTCATGCTATTATCCATGAATTTTAGGATCTAATTTTGCACATAGTTGACGTAAGTCAACCTGAATGGCAATTACAAGTGAATCATGTAGAGGAGCTGTTGTGCAATATTGGTGTTGTAAAAAAACCGACAAATTCTGGACATACAAATGATTCCAATGCATTTGAACCACCTCAAGTGTTAAAAATCGGTAACAAAGTAGATCGAATGTAAGGGAAGTAAGAGGTCATTTTCTTGTTGACTTTTGTGAGAATGTGTAATATCTAAAATCCAGATTAATATAAAAGTATCATTAAAGTATAAGGTCAATTTATTTCTTGTTATATAGCAGTACAATCTTGCCTAGAATATAAAAGTGTATACGATAAAGTAAACTTTGCTATTACGTCGAAATGTTGTTGCTTGGAATAAGGGAAACTTTTGTTTGAGTTCCTGTAAAGTCTCATATTTAATCATAGACGTTTTATCATCAGAATTCGTGACTTTATCAAAAGCATATGAATATATGAATTGGCATGTAAATAATAAAAAAGGTAACTTGTATGTATATCAGTATTAAATTTGCAGACTTTTTTAAAAATCTTTTCATCGCCTGATAAGTGTATTATCTAAAAAACTGATAGTTGCTTGAAAGCTTATTCTGTCTGGTTCCAAACACGATGAAGAGCGGAAGCAACTTAGGGTGATAAAAAGCCTACCCAATGATTGTGAGCAGTGGTAGGTAGCGAAAGAAAACGAGATGGAAAGGTAGCGGTGATAGGTAATAGCAAAAAACTATTTAGACTTATCAAGGGAATGCGTATTAAAAATTCGGCTGTTAATGAAACCATCTCGAAAAAAGATGCGAATATTATTAATTCTCAATTCAAGAGAGTGGACCAAAGGGTAAAACAGTTCAACTGACCTTCAGGTTCTGTGGCAGTATCTGTCATTTGAAGGCGTACTGAAAAATGCACCAACTCTGTACAGGTTCTCTACTTGAACACTACTGGTCGAGTCAGAGCTTATTAGAAACTGTCACTAAAATTCTTAACTTCAAGTAGTGTTCGTCAGGGTTGTCCACTTTCCCTATTTTTATCGTAGATATTCTTCAGAGAAGACGCTCCCGTTTGATTTTTCAGTGGTTGATCACTTATCAGAAGATTCACTTTCCGACTTATTACTTGCAAATGACATAGTTCTGTTTGATGCAGACGCTGAAAAATAGTCTTGCGATCAACTTGAGCAAGCATTTTTGTAATGTGATTCTCTCCCCTCCAAGTACAAAGTGTTACTTCAGGACTGACCTGCATCAGCATCTGAGTTAATGATATGGAGTGAAGTAGTAAAGCGTATCGATCACCTCACTTATTTTCGGAGTTTCACCAGTCTTGGTGAATTGGTGTCTTACAAAATCTCTCACGAATTCAGAAAGCTCGATTGGCTTTTCCCAACTTGATCTCTTTATGGCGTAGACAAGATATTTATCTGCCAACTAAATAACGTGTATGCTGTGCAGCCTTTCGCTCTCCTCAATTTTATAAGCGCGAAATAGCTATTAAGAATTGAAGATACTCGTAGGTTACTAGTATTTAATCATAGGTGTCCTGAAAACATTTCTCGTGTATTTCGATTCTACTGAATAAGCAGTGCCGAGGTTAAGCATAAGGCAAATCGATTAATGGGGTGGTACATCACAGCCATATAAGGTGGTTTAAACATGTATTTCATATAAACAAGCACTGCCTACCTTAACGAGTGGTCTGATCTGGGAGTAGGTTAAAAATGATAGGTGTGGTCAAAACAAGACTTGGTACCACCTATGAAGTCATTAATAATTGGACTGAGGAATGTTAATAGGTGCAAACTGCCCGTTTGGGGTCTGCGTGACTATTTTAACCAGTGGTTAGAGATTTTAAATGACATGGCTCAGAATCGTTCGCGTTGGCGCAGGTGCATCAACTCTGTCTTCCCCCAGATCCTAAGTTTCTAAATTCCTTATAATGTTTTTGTTTCACCGGTTTGTATCTTGTTGAAGCGTATATTCAATGCCTAATTTTCTCTGTTACCACTTCTACTACTCCAGGATTCGGCCTAGCAATTTCATCCCGCTGTGCTATTGAATTATGGGAACTTGAGCCGGTGTACACACATGCTAGGTTCTACGTTGCGTTTGACATAAGCGATTGACTGAACCCGTCAATGGCATCTAAATGAATCATCATTCGTTGTGACATGGGATATAGGCTATCTTTTATGTGGAATTCACTCTGGAACTGTTGATGGAGGATAGAATGTGTTAATTCCCCTATAAATCACTTACTAATTATTTTGTTATTTTTATTTTACAGATTTGAATCTGTACTTTGCACACCAACTCCTCCTACGATAGTTATCCTTTAGTTTATCGTGTTTAAAGACTTTTATAATTTACTCTTAGCTCTTTTACCATAGCAGGTTTTACCCTATTTTTAAGGTCATTCTTTATAATGTGGTTATCCGCTGGTGTTGGTTGCTTAAATCAATCTTTTTTGTCTCCACTGGTAAATCTTCCTTGCAAGATGTCTTTGCGGTAGCTGTGGCCAGAAGGAAAATGGAGGCTGTGGTATCCAGATATCAGAATCAAAACTAACACTTACTGACAGTAGTTGAAAGCACATTAGAAGTCGTTTTGGTAAACACTTAGTTGACAAAAATTAATCACCATATATAAAATGGTAGGAATTAAGTAACTGATACATATATTTTACCATAAACGTTATATTTTATGTACTTATTAAGTTACTTTTTTTTGTATGGATATTTTAGTGAATCAAATGATATGTACGCTGGATTTGATGCATTAATATCTGCTAAAACTGGGACAGGTATGCAAAAGTTGACTTCAAAAGTTCAACTAGCTTTAATGAAACGCCTTGGATGGTTTTCACGCACCTTGGATGTTCTCCAAGGTGGTCCTAGTTTTCAGTGAGTATTGATAACTCTAATATAGTAGTTCTAACATGTGTTTCATCCATAGTATCTAAATTAACTGTCAGATTTACAGAATTATGAAATCTCAGATAAGAAGAATATCCAAATAATTTATAGAAACATCTTTGTTATTAGAAGTGAAAATTGCTTAAAACATTTAAGAATTTTAGTTTTCCTATATATGCTTGCATAGTAGTTATTCTTTTCTCAAATGATATCGGTCATTTCAAGTCGGAAATTCGGTTATGTGCATAGAGTTTAATCGGTAAGATTTTTCATAACCTGGTTGGTGGATGTGATTATTTTAACTGACGTGAACGTTATCAGGAAAAATGTCGAAGATGTATATTGTGATTATTAGTCGGATTATGGCCAAAACATGAATTTGATACCTTGTTCTGTTGATACTACTCCCAGTTTTTTCTGCCTGAAATCCACTCAAACTAATATACTACTTCGGTGTAGAAAGTTCCTCCACTTATCTAGTAAGTGTCCTATTTAAGTAGATCTATAATCTAACATATATTTTTAACTCCGTACTTGACCTTAACATTGATCAATCAGTAGATCAGCCAATCAGGAGAAGTGTATTATATACATCGGTAATCAACTTCAATTAACAAATCTCTCATATCTATCTCTTAAAACAGATAAAATGTTTGACTCCTAGTGTTAGCCCTGCGACTACCAAATGTGCTATCATCTCTCAGGTTACGATATGGCAGTGCGAAACGAGACCGGTTTAAGAGGAACATTCAAAGTGGGATTCTTTGAGTGGAAATCTCATCTGTTTGTGCTGGTCTATATACTAAGCTATCAAAGTCTTCAGAAAATAATTTGGATCATGACGACTATCTTACACAAAAATACAGTTTATAATGTATTCTGCTTATCAAAATATTCATTTCTTAAGATTAATAACTGAAGTTGTTCTGGTCATTAATGGTCATCATTCCGTTCAGTAATATATATGTTTCGATACAATGAAGAATCCTCGATTTAACTTCGAATGAACTTACTGAAACTGAGAATAAATCGGACTAGCTATATTTAGTATCTTAACTGTTAGGTGATCAGATATTGTTAACACACAAGCACTTTAATTATTCTCATTTAATTCAGCGATTCGAAATTTACGCAAAAATAACATACGTAATATATTTAGTACAATTTAAAGCATTTGATGGTAGTTTCGATAGCGAATTTTTGAAGTTGTATTTCTGTCTGTAATGTTAATCACTAACAAGTATGTAATTCCAACAAGTGGATTTTTATTTTGTTTTTATAGATGGATTTATTCTAATGCTATGGTCACAAGCGTGGACACCTCCCCTTCGAGTTCAGAAAGGCTTAGAATAACTGCAATATTCACTCCTGTCGGTTGGATTAAATTTTGCAGAACATTTAAAGTGGCATCCTCTGAAAATGTTTCGTAATATTTCAAATAGTGATGTTTTTCATGAATATCAAACACCGTATTTTTCTCCTTTAACCATGTCCTTTTACAAATTGTTTGACATGTAACATTTCTCTGTTTTCATAAATTATTTTTTAAGATTTGTTTTGACAAAAAGTATAAATGCCGACTACACCATTGTCTTCAGATTAGAATGTACAGATTAAAACCAGACAATTATAGTATTGTATACATTTTATTCTGAAACATTTACTTCTTAGTATTATGGACATTTTTATGTATAGAATTTAATCATATTCTTTATCACTTATTTTAATTAAAGTACACGTTGGACGTCCATGTGCGCATTGGAAAGGTATACGACATCTTGAAAGTTCAACTATAAGTTTCTCCATTTGCTTTTTGTTAAGTTTACTTCCGAAACGAATTGCTTGATGACAAGCTCGACTTTCTAAAAGTGGATGAATCGCTTGCCTAAAAACGAAAGGAAATTTGATTTATTTAAATAATTGTAAATTACGTTAATTCTAACTGTGCGGACGCACCAGAACCATGTAAAGATTTTTGTGCTTATACACTTACCATTTGCAATATATTGTTCAGTCTGTTACATGATTTACACGCATGTCTACCACACAAACTGGAACTATCGATATTCATCTAGTCAGATCGACTTTATTTTTAAGATAAATCCATCATAGTTTAACCTTACAATAGACTTAAAAGTACTCCGTATCACTGTTTCAAGTTTTACGGTTCTTTTTACTTAACCACACCTAGCATCTGACAGAACTTCCCAAAGTTATCGCTGATTATTATGTATATTCTGTTAGCTTCCTTCAAACTACCTTTCGAATTTTCGTAACTACTCTTGAATTACTTCCTAGATTATTTACTTCGAATACCTGCCTTCGCTATATAAATGACACCTATCGATCTTGTAATGTTTATAATCGTGTGTAACAATGATAAACTGACTGAAAAACATTCCTGCTCAGTAGGGACTTTCTAAACTCTAATTTTTCCTACTGAACATTAAGTCATTATATTTCACCATTTAGTTACTGCAATTCACAGAGTAATACGAACAAAAGCCTTTTTAAGATGCTAACTGAAACTTTTTATAAGCTTCGGATCACAGTTTTGTGGCTTGGTTTCGACATGATTTCGTAGGCTTCGCTTATCAATCACCTTGATGACCGTTATTATATAAATCCCAGCGACGTTTGAATTCAGAAGGCAATAAGAAGCGGCGGCTACAGTTTATTAGTGGATAGCACAGATAACAAAGTTACAAGCGAATCGGAGCAGAAAGGCCAATGCATGTGTGAGCGCATACAGATGTGAATTTATAGTCAAATCGAATCAAGGCAAGGTAAAGGCTATTAATGGTACTCGAATACATATATACATGGGAAAGAGAATGATTCATCGAGTTATATGCAAAAGCTAGGGAGAGATATGTGTGTGGGTTGTCACATGTGATCAAGTGTACACGTTTATGCAGACATGGTAGTGATCATAACAAAAATAAATATGCGAATTCTTAATGTTCGAATAATATTGTTTGTTAGGTAACTTAATAGAAGGGCTCGACATAAATGTTCCTATAATATCATCTTTTGGTATCTGTAACTATTTTTTATTTAGGTTCAACTTTACACATTTTGCGTACTTACTGTTACAAGTAGTTGTTAGTGTTAGTACAGACCTATAACGTACATTAAATTGTTCAGAATTATTTAGACAAACTTACGCCAGTTATCACTTCTGGAGGATCATAGGCCGCCCACCAGCACTCGCCATCCAACCCTGTCCTGGGCAATCCTTCCCAGTTGCTATTCATCCTTTTCATGTGTGCTTCCGATTCCCGACGTAGTGTGTTCTTCGGCTTTCTTTTCCGTTCCCCTTAAGGATTCCAAGTTTTTTTATTTCCGTAATGTATGTCCTATCCATTTCCAACGTCTTTTCCTGATTTCCTTTTCAACTGGAAGCTGGTTTTTTCTCTCTCACAGCAGACTGTTGCTGATGGTATCCGGCTAACAGATATTGAGTATCTTGTGTGGACAACTTTATATAAATACTTGTGTCTTTTTGATGATGGTTGTAGTAGTTCTCTACGTTTCATCTCCGCACAATAGGACTGCCTTGACGTTCGTATTGAAGGTTGTGACTTTGATATTAGTTGACAGTTGTTTTGAGTTCTATATGCTCTTCAATTGTAGGAATGCGGCCTTTGCATTCTCAATCCTTACATTTACGTCTGCCTCCGATCCTCGTTGTTCATCGATGATCCGGTAAGCCGGAAATTCCACATCTTACAGGGTTTCCTCATCAAGTGTGATTGGGTTGTTCTCTGTGTTGTATTTGAGACAAACTACCAAAGTTAAATAAACTTTCACCAGAAATTGAGAACTTGTTAGATAGTATATTCATATTAGCTTTAAATGTCACCTAAACTTTTGTTTGTCACATGAATGGTGTGTGTATGACCACTTAAGAGTTTACATTGGCTAAACATTTTCGTACGTGAATGGTTTATTCACTTTTAATAAGGTGTCCAGCGATAGTTATCTTGCTTGAACTATGTACTAGCTACTCTCTCACATGTTATGCCGCTCTTGGATCAAAAGACTTGCATCAGTAGTAGAAATCCCTGCTCCAGTACTACACAACTGAGAGACATTATTAAGTAAACAGAACAACCGAATCGTTTTTGATATCCTTGGTGCCAAGACCTGCAAAGCTGCCGCATCGTCTAACACCTATCTCATTAAACATGAAATAATCAATATAGGTTACATTATGTATCAGTTTTATGCCAGCGATTAGCCAACAATTCAGTTAACAGCGGGATAGAACTATTTGTGACGTATTATTAATAGTGACTTCAAAATGGGAGCGCATTTGAAAGAGACTGAATCCATAGTTTTAAATTTTTTAATCAGTTCTCAGAACCTGATTCGATATATATATATATATACAAGGCCCCATTTAAAGCATTACGGCTAGCTCATGTTTTAGAACAATAGCTGGCGCATCTTTGGATGTCTAAAAGTAAGGATTGACTCTATATCTTGAGTTTCGACGTTTCCTAGTTTTTATCTTCAAGCAGAAGATAATCTCACAGAAGCGTTCGATATAATAAATCACGAACCATTTTTACTTTTTTCATACAAAACTGATAATCCATATAGCCAATACAAAATACTTTAACACAATCGAAGCAAAATCCGGATTCTGAATTTTACACAAGTTAATGAAAACCTGGGACTTCCCATAGAAATTTTGAACGAAAATTTGATTCTCTCAGAGATAATCTCTCCTACAGCTTACTAGTCAAGTGACTTATATGACTTATACGCCCTATGTTGTTTTTAATCTCTACAGACATTGCCAACCATCTGTTGGTTGAGTTTCTTGCTGTTTCTCTACCCTAGGATTGGTTCAAAAGAACTAGAAGATACCAGTAACTTTTGTTAAGGATCGGACTAAACAGCTCGTATCATTATATCTTTATCAGTTTGGCTACTACATTTGCCAGCGTTCCTAAAAACTAAAATGATTCAAGACACGTTGTTCAGTCTCATGCAATCACGAATATGCTAGCACCAGAATAAATTACTTTGGGTATTAAACATTTCTCCAGCAAATCTGTTTGAGAGAGGATCGGAGATATAGATGGAGATAACGGTCCATCCACTGATCCATTATTCATTAACTAGTGAAACACCCAGGTGTTTTACGTAGGATTTTACAGAAATCTAACGTTAGTATACAAGGCATAGTGTGATAGGAAATTAACTGTGATATGTAATTCTGTGTGATCATTAGTAGCACAAAACTACAAGGTGGTAACGATAGATTAAAAAGATGGTCCTGAAATCGGTGCATGAAAATTAATTTCAAGTCAGTTGCAGCAATAGTCTTTGATATGGTAGCAATGAACAGCACCGCAAGTCCCGAAACAAACAAATTTGGGAGTAATTCCAAACCGTAAATTGCAAACAACAGAACATTGATATGCAGCAGCTGTTAAAGGGTTTCATGTGTTAAAATTCTACTTGAGAACTACTTGAAAAACTTGACTAAAATATGTTTAATAGTTTCACCAGACCTGCCTGAAATATCACGTGAAAGTTTGCTCATGCTCCATCAAAGTGATAGTCTTGGACTTCGATAAATAAAAGATACCAGTTTGATAACTGAAACAACAAATATTTTGTAGGAAGTTTTACTGAAACGCTTAGGAATTTTTCAAAAATTAATATTGAAATACAGAGTCACCTAGTGTTATTATTCGGTACCTTTAATAATGATTTTGGTGACAGTAAGTTCTCTTATACTCTGATGACGGCCGCTGTCATATGAGAACATTGTCGGAAGTTTACGAAATTATGACTGAATGAATCTATGTTGGGATTCTCATTTCATCACAGAGCAAAGTATAACACAACAACCGACTGAACTATAACACAAATAAGGACGTTTAATATATAAAGTAAAAATACATATAGCTTTCGGTGACATACGTGATCTGGTGTATAATACCGACGTTTGGTTCCTCCTTATTTAACAGTATAACCCGAACACAACTTTCTATAACTTTTCTAATAAGTTTTTCTGACGAATGATTTTGAGGAATTACTCGAGGGATCATGGTAACGAAGATAGAATGCTCCATAGAGTTACAATCAAGAATAGCCGAGAACCCATACTTTAATAACAAACTTAACTTAGCTGGTTCTTGGTTTATCAAGTTAAAGATATCAGGAACTGATCGCCTTGATAGCTTTAACGATATTTTCCTGGAAAATATTTTCCAAACTTGGGGTTCATGTGTTTCTCTATTTAAAGACATTTCAAAATGAATCGAACACTCTTTCTCGAAACATTCAAGAAGTATTCTTTCATGTGCAGCATGTTGATCAACTGCAATAATGTAGGAATTTTTATATTTGTATCCATGTGGTTTGGAGGATGACTCTCCAAACAGTTGGTAATGACTACTTTTAGCATTAGCAATCAGCAGAATAAACTTTCTATCAAACTGACCCACCACTCTGGCTTGTCGTAGACTATCGACAGTCAAACAGCATTCATCGTTCCTCTCAGAGAATGTAGTGCACGACAACATATTACATAACATATATTATACACACTAGGGTTTTTTAAAACAATCAAATGTACAAAACCAAAAAATGCGTTTTCAAATCACATATACGTAGAAAAATAAAGCTTTCGTTATTTTGTTCTCATTCTCTGCCGTTATTTACTGGTTCTAGGTTATTTGTAGGGTATTGGGGTTATTGATTCCGATTGGTGTCTCGTCAACTGTCGGGCGTTTGGTAGAAATATAAAGGAAAATGGAAAAACTATGGCTGAGACACATCTGAAGAGGGAATTTAAGTTAACAAGTCTTATTTGTACTTTATTATAATGGTAGTGAGACTACGAAATCTTAACAGGTTTGGCTAATGTTATAAGCTTAATTGTTCAATGGATTCGGCATGAAAAATCTAGTAGTTTTAAAAGGTTTTTACTTTTTTTACATTAAAATTTTTTATCTTTCATACCACGACACCATGTCATGCAATGACCGTCTCCGCTTTTTCCAACCAGTCACAGAGTCTGCAACTAATGCACGACGAGGAATTCTCTGGGACGACATTCGTAGAATATGTCCAAGCCACCGAAGTCGATGATTCAAGATGGTGATATCAATCGAATAATTGTCGCAGTGCCGGAATACATGATGCTGAACCTCTGCTTGGGTGTGATTGCACTGTATGGTAATGTCATCCGTATAATCAAGGTCGAGAATTCTTTCTTCATGCAACAGATGCACACCCCCACTACCTACAACAACCAGAGCTGTTTCCAGAACGTCATCTATGGCAAAGTTGGTGATAAATGGTGCAATTGGGCAACCCTACCTAACCACACTGCTTGAATGTAACAGTGGAGAGAGGTGGTTGTATACCTTGGTAAATAGCACCTAATACTCAACACGATAAATGAAGAGAAGTGGTCACACAACTCACATTGATAGTAGATGAGGGAAGGTTAAAACAGGTCCTGACTATATGCAACCTAGATGATTGAAACCATCGCAGTCGTCAAGATTAATATAACATCTAGTGGGACTTTATAATTTAGATGGTTATTCTCATGTAATTTATTAATACTTAAGAGTAAAATATTTGTATCACGAAACATTTTGAGACATGTGGTTACGCGGACCGGCATAATGTATGTTAAGAGTGTAGCGTGGTGTCGAAATGCGCTTGATTATGAACACCGCTACAAGACTACGTGCCAATTAACCAATAAGATCCCCGTAGGCCAATATCAGAAGACAGATTATGACGGTAGTCGAGATGTATTTGTTGGCGATCTCGTGGTATCGAAAGAATACCGAGATCGTGCCAAAGGAGTACAAGCGTGGTTACTGAGCATAACCAAACTCGTACAAGTTCAAAGTCAACGGGAGAGTAAGTGTAATGGCTGTCATTAGCATAGTTAAACAAACGAGCACAGTAAAACAGTTGCTGGTACAACTGGTTATAATAATAATTGTTTTCATTGAACCAATCGCGTTCTGTTGGCAAAAGTAGGTCACTACAAGAGTATTGACTTTCATTTTAGAGCCCATCAAATAATATGGGTGAATTTATCCGCAACGCAACCATGTAAACTTAATGAATCGCCGAGAGTCATCTGTGCGTTCAAGTAACCACAGATTTTGTCATTTCATAGTGTATATTTAATTAATGAACTAGATTATGTTGTTAATAGAACATTACATAGAACATTACACTAACTGCGGCATTTTAGCACACCGAAACATTAAATTTCAACTAAATTACAAAAGAAATAGTTGAAAGAAGCACAGAACTAAGAAAGCCGACCGCAATTGCTTACAAAGATGGCGGATATAATGATTCCCTCCCCATTCTGATTGGTCGCTAAGCGGAAGGGCAAATTTACGAAATTGAGTTGCGTTTAATTGCAGCCAATAATATCACTCTATTAACATGTTCAACAAAATGATGAGAGTGTATGTTTATACTAGAGGTGTTAACGCGCTATGAAAACTTTACTAAAACGCTTCACAGGTTTATTAGTATCGTCAGAAGTACGGATAAATGGATTGGGTGTATGGAATTACTGCAGAATTTCCTAAAAGTGTTGGAAGCCGAAGAATCGAGACTAACACGCAATAACTTGAGTCAATGACTTTACTTTCGTCTGCTTCGTTTACGTTTAGAACAGACTCCCGACTAGACAAGGAAGTACAATTCACTGTCAACCCCAAAGTATTATCTAGATGTCACAAAGCAAAAATCAGAAAATGAAACAAAAAATCATAACTTACGGCGAACAGTTCATCGTTTTAGTGTTCGGCCTGTTCTCATGGCTTGTCATCACCACTGAAGCGAAAGAAGCTATATCAGGATCTGATATAAATAACTTATTCAGCTTATTAGTACACACAAGCTGATATGAGCTTGACTATACAAGTAAACTTCTTTAATTTTATGGTTATAACTGCCAATATTCGATTTGAACGCAGAACTAACGTACCGAAATTTATTTGATTAGACCAGACCACATCACTAGTACTAAATTATATCAAAACACAAACCCTGTACCCAGTTTAAACGGTTCCAACTGAGGAAATAGAATAAAATATATCAAAATACAAAATATTTCAAACGGTACAGCATGCGCTATACAGTCAAAAGTTTCTCTAACACATTAGCGTGCCAAACAACAAAAGAAACAGTTATTACGAAAGAGTTCAATACCTGAGGATCAATAAGAATATTCCCAACAAGATGAGATCAAATATCTATTTTCAGGGATTCCAGCAATTTTCTCAAGCAGACAGTCAAAGGTTAGCAGTCACTCACTAAATCACGCCGTGACATTGAGCTTAGTCAAGCATGACCTTATTGTCAATAGTCCGATAACATGCAATAGAAAATTAGGTAACAAAAGAAGAGTCTTTAATCAAAATTACACGATAGAAGTTCAGACAAAGAAGACTGAAGTACAAAGTATGGTCAAAAGAGATCTGAACAAAGGTTGAAATACACGACAGGGAGAAGAAACTAATAAATGACAGTACTGTCCAACAAAAGGCTGTGGAGGGATTTTCAGCGTTCTCATTCTGTTACAATGGTATCATCGCTTCCTATGAAATTCATGGCGTGACATGTGTTTGAAAGGCTCTTAAATAATAACCATAAACACATCATGAGGCATTTGAATCATTTCTTAGTCAAGAATATGAATGGTCCCTTTTTACATCATATGCAGACCTTTCAAATTCAAATATTTCCTCATGTCGAAAGGGAAGTTTATGCTCATCTGGTTGATGAAGCTAAATTAACTGCGATGATCTAAATTTCCACATAAACCACTATTTAAAGGGCACAGATAAGAGTCAACATTGAACACTGAAAAGCCTGGTTTATATCAAGAGTCTGGGATCACTGAATTAGTTAACCAAGAAGTAGGATAAGCCTTGAAAAGGTAACCAGCATGTAATTAACTGTGATTCGATGAATAATTTCGTGTTATCAAACCTTCCTTATAACATGGATGTATAATGATGATCTCGGCAGCTGATATGTTATGACTCCTGACTAGATGAGTTTACTTGTAATGATAGATTTTCACACGTTCCGGATGTTTTATTGTGTAATGCACGCAGCAAGGCGAGTAGAATCTAATTTTGATATGCTTTAAACAGATTATTCTAGATAGGTTTAGACTGAATCAAGTAATGAAAATCAGGACTTTGAAATGCTTCAAAGCATTTACAGCACGTAATGTATTACAAGAACAAGTAATTCCCAGAACTACTCAGTATGTACTCAAGAAGTCACGACTTGATTGAACCAGAAATCTCAATTGCATGTATGATGTCGAAATCGAAACTGAACACATAAGAGTTTATAGGGTAGTCAACATTACATTCAAACACTACAGATCTGTTGATTTTAGAACAGCGTGTTGTGGACTGAAAACTACTCACCGAGTTCACTTGGTATTATTTTGCTTGTATCTTTCCATTGAGGTTTAAGCCTGCAATTGATCAGTCTGTTATTGGCATATGTGCATACTGTGTGTATGCCTCGATATTGCATTGATTCACAAGCTTTTATGAGCAAAGTTGGATAGTGGCTAGCAGTGGAATTCAGGACGCGCGTTTCGTTCTATTTGAAACTCGTCAGCTGGATGTACCTGCATCTCAGAGTTGATGTTCACTCTGGGGCTCACCGAGTTGTTTGATCATAATTATTGAAATCTAGAAATACTCAAAATCAATTAGCAGATAAACCAGGGTTGAAGAACTCTCATCAACATTCTTTATTATAAGGTTTTATTCATAAGTGTGTAGTGCGGCGTCGAGTCGCGGTTAACTATAAACACCACTACAAGAAGAGCGCGTACCAGATAAATCAGAAGGCGACAAATGGATTCAAACCAGATTTATTCGTTGGTGATCTCGTGGTATCAAATGAATACCGTGATCGTGCCAAAAAGAATACAAGCGGAATTAGTGGGCGAAAGTACGAGTGTACAAGGTCACAGTCCACGGAAGAATAATAGAGGAAAGTAATGGCTGTCTTTAGTACAGTTAAACAA